ATTTTCTATGAAAACTTGAAGAGATGGGTAAAAAATGGATCAATACAATTTGATAGACAATTACATTATGTATCTCATTCACGTAAAATATATAGGGTGTTCCATTTAAATTAAACAAGTTATTGCCGTTTAAACCTAGTAATTATTTAATAAAAAATTTTGGACACTCTGTATTAGGTCGTAAAATTTTTATTATTGCAACACAATATATGACCAATAAATAATCTTCAGTAAATATTTAGTATTAAAAACTTTTATACCCTTGGAGAAATAAAGCCTTAAATTTTTTTCTGCAATTTCATAAAATTGAAAATATTTCAAAAACCGTAAGGTTTAAGTGTGATAAACCTTAATCAAATTTACCTTTATTTCAATCGTAGAATCCAAAAATAGAATAATATACAGGGTGTTCCATTTAAAAAAATACAACTATAATATTTTTTACTTATTTGGGACACTCTGTATCTTGTAAAAATATTTTTAAATTGTAGCTTTAATAGTCCTTCAACGAACCCAAAACTTACAATTTGTAAAAATCTAATCGTTTAGCTACAATACTCCGTGTCGTATGTGGTGAACAACCCTGTATAAAAAATAACTATTTTTTTAGCAAATATTATAATTTTTGTTCTGCTATTTGTTGCTAAATTTTTCGAGAAACAAATATTTATAGTTCAAATTTAAATATAAAGATTTATTTTGGGTGGTGACTGTCGAACCAATATATTCTGCAACCTAATTTTAGTTAAGGTATTTAAAAGAGCACATTATTCAATTCAAATCGTTAAGCCGTATCTACACCTAAGGTTTTAACTGTCAGGTAAGATGGAAGTTTTACCTACAGTTTTATCAGTTATAGTTTTTTGTATGTTGAAGTTGAAAAGAAAAGAAAAACATGGAATTTTATTACAAAATTGTACAGGGTGGCGCCTCTCATACGACGCGGAGGCTGCAAGGAGAACTAGAGCTTATATTGAAATGAAATTTTGTGAGCATATGTAGGTTGATTTAGAGCATTTTTAGAAAAATATAGAAAAAAGTTCTACAGGATTTCCCCCCAAAACATTTCACATCAAAGTTGTGTTTTTTGTAATGGAACACCGTATATATTAATTGATTTTCGGATTATAGGGGAAAAACAAAGGTGAGTTTCATTAGAGAAGTATATCGCTAAAATGTAAGGTTTTTGACATATTTAACCATAGACTTAAAATAAAATATAGACTACACTATTTACATTTCAACGCGGACAAACAATCTTTTTTGTACACATGTTTACTTCTGGGTACAGTCGACCGAGCCTTCCTCATCCAGCCTATGTTGTCACGTCTTTAATATTATCAATATTTTTTTTCTTCTTATACACATACATTGAGATATTAATACTACAGTTTAATAAAGTAGGTTTTAATATTCCATAGGTGTATTAAATAGTCCTTATACTACTAAATTATAAATCGGATACTGTTTAAAAAGGATAAGTTCTTTACAATATGACAACACCGATTAGAGGCGAGGGAGCCTATTCATTCATTTATTACCTTGTAGTACGTGTCGCACGTGTGAGGTAAAGCTTTGTTGCCGCTATCTCCCCGGCTGTATTAACGCATTTTCTTAGCTTGTAGTCCTTAAGTGTTTATTTTATTGACTTTTTCTGTTCAAGAACTGTAAAATATGGTTCGCCAGTGCCAAATTTGCAAGAAATTTGACTTAAATAATCCATTTAAGTCTTGAAACGACTTTTGACCGGTAGGCAACTCTCAATTTACCCTTTGGGAGTCAGTGGCGTTGTTGTAGAAAGGCACTTATTTAGATAATATTTTAGTAAAATGGAAAATCTGAATTTTTTCCCATTTTTAACTTAATAAAAAAAACAGATTTGTATGTTAGTAGGTATATGACATAAATTAGGATTTATTGACGTATTCAATTGTTTTTGGTCTCTTCCTGTTTCGCCGAAATGATTACATCTTTTGATTTTTAAAGGCACCCTCGGTATATTGCTACTTTATTCGATAAAAAATGACACTCTGAATACAATATTTTTTAATATACCGGGTCGTCTCAAAAGTGGCTCACCCCTAAAACTTTTTTATTTTTTCAGATAAAAAAAAAACAGATTTGTATGTTAGTAGATATATAACATAAATTAGGATTTATTGACGTATTCAATTGTTTTTGGTCTCTTCCTGTTTCACCGAAATGATTACATCTTTTGATTTTTAAAGGCACCCTCGGTATATTGCTACTTTATTCGATAAAAAATGACACTCTGAATAGAATGACATATCATATGTCAACTTTTGACATTGCCGCTTAAAAACAAATCCTATAATTTAAATTTCAATCCAGGGTGCCATGGTGTTGTTAAAAACACTAAGTTTTAATCAAGGAGCCTTGGAAAAATAGTTTTGATCGTCTAATAGGTTTCGTGTATTGTCTAGGCCGGTTATAAGATGTACAAATCGTATTTTTAATCATACATATGTCAATTTTTTCAAATGGAACAAGGGTGACTCATTAGCATATTTGGAAAAAGCATTTTTTTATGAATATATTGATACCACACACTTGGTATTGAGTCAAATTGTCGTTATGAACCGCGTGTTACAATTACAATTAAACCATATACGAAAATGTCAAAAGTTGACAAATGATATGTCATTCTACTCAGAGTGTCATTTTCTATCGAATAAAGTAGAAATATACCGAGGGTGCCGTTTAAAAATTAAAAGTTATAGTCATTTCCGGTGATAAAGACAGTACCGAGTTAAACAAATGTAGTTTTCATTTTATCCACTTCCTATCACCTTCCTTGCTTTAATGGAACAGATTTATGTTTTCTCTAATTTACATAAGACATCACTTAACCAGAAAAAAAAATTACAACAATCATATTTTCTTTTCTCTCCCTGTCGCCGATTCTATTATATCTGTGGAATAGATCCTGTTTTAATTAATATTAGGGGTTGTAAATGTTTGACTAAAATTAATAATTTATTATTAATTTCAAAAATTACGTAATTTCGATTATAAAATTTCTTCTATAACGTGTATTTTATTATTTTTATCTTTTTTGGACTCTAAGACGTTTTTTCTAAACTTTTATTTTAAAAACATGTCCTAAATCTTAATAAAATATAAAAAAGTTTAAATACGATATATTTTTAATTTAATTATAGCTTCATTAAAATAAAAAAATTACCCGGCTATGATACGGAGAGTTCAGGTGTACTTGAGAAACGAAAGACAGTGTTGTGTTTCTCGGCAGAGTCGTCAGGGAACGACCGTTACGACAGAGACAACCTATCTATCGCTCGTGTCGCACTCGTTATAACCTAAAACAATAACACAACAATAACAAGACATTGTCTGACCGCATGTTCCAGCTATTTATGAATGAGATGCTCCAGTCTATATTTTATTTTAAGTCTATGTATTTAACAATTTCAAGTTATGCAAAAATATTAGATTTGTAAAATTTTTTTTGCTTATTAAAAATGCCGTAATATTTCCGTATTATTTTTTGTAAATTTACTAATAGGGTGAGTCTTAAATAAGTGAAAAGTCAAAAGTCAAAAACACAATTATGAGATTTTTCTTCGCGAAAAAAAAAATTGAAAATTTGGAATTTTTGAAAAAAAAAATAGTTAAAAACATACTTTGTTGACGATATGGCAACATATTTAGGTAGTAGATTAAATTTACAAGAAATAAAATTCAGAAAAGATCCAGTGTTTCTCAAAATTTTAGCACAATTTTTTTTGGAAATTTTCAAAGTAAAATTACTCGGTTATTTTGGAGTTATTTGAAAGACGGTAAAGAGAAAATATGTTTCTTTTATAGAGATCTACCAAAATATTTGCACTTATTTAAGACACCCTGTATTTTTTCAGTGTAGGTAAAACAACAGTTTTGTTGTAAAACTTATTTATTTATTTTACTCGATAAAAGTTTTGATTGAACACGTAAGACTGGCACGCAAAACTTTATGTGTGGGCGGGATTTTAAACTATTTACCACATCAACACTCTTGATACATACTATATGATCAAAAAGTCAGGATAATAGTTTTAAATTTAAGTTTAGAACTCAATATTTTTAAGTGTAGTATATTTCAACCTCAGACACACGTCTATAAGGCTTTTTCCGCAAAAAAAATGATTATTTTTAGTTAAAAAACATAATTTCTTGATAATATGGCAACATAGGTAGTAGATTAAATTTACAAGAAAGAAAATTCCAGTGGTTCTCAAAATTTAAGCTAAAAATCATTTTTTTAACATTCAAAGTAAAATAACTTGGTTATTTTGGACTTATTTGAAAAACGATAAAGAGAAAATATGTTTCTTTTATTCAGATCTACCAGCCGTGAAAATATTTGCACTTATTTAAGACTCACCCTGTATAGAAAAATATGCTAAAAATTGAAAAAAAAATCGAGAACATAATTTCTTGATAATATGGCAACATAGGTAGTAGATTAAATTTACAAGAAAGAAAATTCCAGTGGTTCTCAAAATTTAAGCTAAAAGTCATTTTTTTAACATTCAAAGTAAAATAACTTGGTTATTTTGGACTTATTTGAAAAACGATAAAGAGAAAATATGTTTCTTTTATTGAGATCTACCAGCCGTGAAAATATTTGCACTTATTTAAGACTCACCCTGTATAGAAAAATATGCTAAAAATTGAAAAAAAAATCGAGAAGAACGATACAAAAACTCATAATTATTAAAAAGTTTGTTGAAAATATTTTTTTTTTCAAAAATTAGCAAAATTAAAGAGTTTTTATTATAAAAAAAACAAATCTTATTATTTCTTGTTTATTTCTTTAAAAAAATTGAAACTTTTGCGTTGAGGTTAAAAAAATCGAAACCAAATGAAAATCTATCAAAATTAAATAAATTTTTTTTAAAACTACTGTATCTTTAGATTTTTTGATCATGCGGTGTGTATATCGATATTAAAAAATATAGAAAAATTAAAAATACACTAACAATTTCTTTCCAAAATTACACGAAAATTCCCTTTGCCTTTTATCCCTTCCAGTTCCTCTATTGCATCCATCTAGTTTTCCCTTTCATCCTCAAGAAAAAAAAGACGCAAAACAATTTTTTTTTAGTTAGTCCTCACTTCGACCCGATTTTCGACTGTTTCCATACTGACGTCATCGACAACGACCGCCAGACGAGGAACGAGAGAATTCGCGATAAATTTTTAGTTATACATTTTTTATCTTAATTTTTCGATAAAGTGGTGGTGGTAGATCGTAGGCGGGTGAAAAACAATCGAGTACAGATAGACGTATAATAAGAGCGGTATAAACAAAAGACGCGCGAGACCGACTCCCGCCGCTCCATCGACTGGACGGCGTGTACTGCGTGCGGCGGTGCCATGTTGTCGAATGATTCGGCAAAAGTCCCCCACGCGACTTGGCCAACTGGTTGTCGATCGCGGCAGGCCTGGCTCTGGTCTTGCCGTACGTCGTCTATACAGGTCTGTTTCCACAAGCACCCATACCGGTCAAAAACTCGTCAAATGTAGTTGATCATATTTGAAATCATCATCATTTTCAGCTTATTCAACTATTTCCAATTATGGTGTAGCTTCCCTTACCTATTTAGAAACTCTCTTTGTAGTTGGGCTCATTGTTGGCTATGCGGGTCCAAGTTATCCATGCTAATTTGCTAATATCATGATCCCATCTCAGGTTCGATCTTCTTCTAGGTCTAGGGTACCATGCTGTAATATTTGTGTTCCATTTGTTGTTCGTCCTTCTTGCCAGGTGTCCTGCCCATTGCCACTTGAGGGATTTGATTCTGTGGATCTATACTCTGTTTTTTTTCTCAGGTAAGATTTCGACAGACGATGACAAAAGAAAAGCAGATGACGTCCCATACCAATCTATTTATTTTACTAAAAAAAGTTTCTAATAATTTTTAAGTTATCTATGGATGGGTTTAAATATAAATCCGTCATGCGTCGTGTCTTGTTGTTTTTAACTAGTTTTATTGGTTTATTTAAAAAATGACAGATCGTATTTCAATTTTATTGGTTTGACGGAACGATGAACGACAAACGGACGCCGATGGGTATGAACTCGCCTTTAGATTTTTGTCATTTTTGACGCTTGTCAAAGTCTTGCCAAATTATAGGTTATAATTTTGTGTCAACTTTTGTTAAATACCCTGCGTTTTGGAAGATGATGCATTTTGATTCGTATTATTACGTGTGTTTTGTGTCTTTTGAAGTCAAGTGGAGGAAAAATCGAGTGAAAATTAACTGTAGACCCAGAGCACAGTTTATGGTTAATACTCGTTGCCCAGGCAGAAAGTCTTATACACCAATGAAGTTGCCATCGATAAAGTTTGTATACCATTTCGTCGTAGATAAGTGTATCTCGTATATAGTAGAAGGATCAAACTAAACATATACTAAAAACTGGAGTAGCTGTAAAATATCGACATCACACGATAGGTAAATAATGGATTTTAGTACTGCAGAAAAATAATGTCAAAAGGTACTGGTTTAAAAAAAATTAAGATCAAAGTTAATTAATCAACCTTTAAGGTATAAAATTTGGTAGCTGTTATTATTAATAAAATAGTTTGTTTTATTTACCTGTGTTGTTTTATTTATTCCTGTGGAATATTACAAATTTGTATTTGTACATAAGTTATATTGATAAATATAATCATAAATGCGGGTAGTTTCATAAAGCTTGAAAGTAAATAATAGTTCTTTTTCATATTTTTTGGTATGTAGTGGTCTTGTTCTTGTTTGTTTTGTATTAACACATACCGTTTTTATTAAATAAAATAACTCGATTACATTTTTTCAGTTTTATACAGTTTTTTTCACAATATTTTGAAGTAATCACTTGTCATCTTGTCAATCAAATTTTAAATATTTCCTGCTATGCGTTCCAGTTGTACCAACTTATTTCTTTGTAAAAGTCTCTCACAACCCTTACATATTCGAAATAGGAGATAATAAAAGATACAACGTACCCACTGGCGTAACTACAGGCGTGCCCGGGGGTGCCCCCCCCCCAGGTACTGCTGGGCACCCCCTAGAGAAATCCTGAATTATGACTCTTGGCTACGTATTAATTTTTATTTGCTTGTGATGCAGTAAAAATGACGTTTTCTAGTTTTGTTTAGTTAATATTATTTTGTTGTGTTCAAAAAATGTGTTAATTTTTATTTTTTTTTTAGAAAATTTGTAGGTATTTAAGTAATCTACGGGAACACGGTTTGATAACCAAGTCTATGAAATTTATTGATAGAAATTCATGTAAACGTTTTATTCAAAAAATGTGTTTTTCAAAATTATTTATCTTTTTTAATAAAACAAAACCCTAGGCCCCACCCTGGGCTCAACCCCAGGGTGGGGTTGAGCCCAGGGTTAGTATGGGGGGAGCCCTTAATTAGTATTTGGGCGGAAATACTAGTGGTATATTTAATTAATGGTATACTTTTTTATAAAGATTTAAATAGTTTTCTTTTTGCATAGGATCTCGTATATTTTGTACATTTGTTGTTTTAAAAACAATCTAAAATGTCAATATTCCATGGGTATATTGATAAATGAGGTCTAAATTCTAAGAAAATGCATTTTCTTCGAAAATTTGAAGGAATAGGTAAGAAGTGGTATAATACAATTTGATAGACAATTAAATCGTGAATCTGCTTCTCATAAAATATACAGAGTGTTCTATTTAAATTAAATAAGTTATTGCCGTTTAAAGCTAGTAATTATTTAAAATAAATTTTTAGACACTCTGTATAAGGTACTATAATTTTTATTATTGCAACACAATAAGTGATCAATAAATAAACTTCAGTAAATATTTAGTAATAAAAACCTTGATATCCTCGGAGAAATGAAGTTTTAAAATTTATACTGCAATTTCGCAAAATTGAAAATATTTCAAAAACGGTAAGGTTTAAGTGTAATAAACCTTAATCAAATTTACCTTTATTTTAATCGTAGAAACTAAAAATGCAATAATATACAGGGTGTTCTATTTATAAAAATACAACTTTGATATTTTTTATTTATTTGGGACACTCTGTATCTTGTAAAAATAAATTTAAATTGTAGCTCTAACAGTCCTTCAACGAACCCAAATCTTACAATTTGTAAAAATCTAATCGTTTAGCTACAATACTCCGTGTCGTATGTGGTGAACAACCCTGTATAATAGTTAATAATAGTTAATTATATAAAGGTGGCGCCCTCTACAAGTAAGAGTCATAGTGACATCAAAATCAAATCTCTTGTGTCAAAAAACTCCCAGACACCAATTTTTATCCATACAGTTCGGACCACTCTGTAGATTATAGATTGTATGCTTTCCTTTTGAGTTTTTTCAATTGTATTTGTTTCCTTTCCAAGCTTCTGTACATAGGAATGAATCAATAGCAAATATTAAAAATACACATTTTGCCAATTGTTACTCAGTATGGAGAGTCAAGAAATTATTGAGCGTTTGTTTACCTGTAAGAGCATTCTCTAATTTATTATTTTATTTATCTACTTTCCCTCGTTCCTTCGTTTTTATTAAAAAAACGACGTATACGAACATCGTCCCCAGCTTCGCGGATACAAAAATAGAACTACGGAGTCCCGTTGTAGTGGTTACGTCATGACAGCGATCGCGTTTTGTTTCTCGACGTGGGATCGCGATCTTTGGATTTGTAAAGAGATTAATGTGCAATGGCACAGTCAAAGGGTATTAAAGATCTAGACAGGTAGAGCTCGGATATTCTTAATAGCATGGTGCTAGTATCAAGTCAGACTGTCAGACGTCAATTTTTTTAGCTTAATTCGTTTTTTTATTGAAAATTTTCATTTTTAATTTTCCTGCCAAAACGTACCTCAAAATATACGGGGTGGTTCGAATTGTATACAAGGTAAATTAAGTAAAAAAGTTCATATAAATTAATGATAAAAAATTAGAAAATCTGTGTAATCACTATTATTTTATAAATTATTTGGAAAAAATCGAAATAAAAATGAAATTTCTACACCCTGTATCTCCGAAACTAAGCATTAATTTTTATCTGTAGAATACCGGACCACCCTGTATAGTTATTAAAAATAGTACAATTTTAATCATTGCTGTCACTTGATAGCACGTAGTGCGCTATTTCTTCTTTTACTTCCATTAAAAAGCAAAAAACGTGCGTAACGGCGTTTATAGTATCAGTTTTAATTTTCAAAGAAATCCCACAAAAATAATGAGTAAGATCTCTTTTATTTATCCCTTCTCACGAAAATGCGCAAGGTCATGGTGAAACATTAGCGAATATACTCACACTGTTTCATGTCAATTTCTTTTAAAGTATGTTAAATGACTTTATCTATACATCAAAGGAAATTTAATGCCATGTTTTAAATTTGCCAAGTCATCGGAATCATTATGGTTTATTTATACGGCAACATTTAATATTGAATTATTTTTAAATATTTATTTCGGAAGATAGAGATTGTAAGTTGGAAGAAAAAGTAGAAAGCACCGTCCACACCTAATGTTTTACCTGGTAATTTTGCTTGTCAGGTAAAACAGAAGATCGTCTAGAAAACTCATGATTTATACCTGAGGTTTTCTCAATTATAACATTGTGTTTAGTGAAGTTTTACCAAACTGTGTTTATTTTATTAATTATTTGCAAAAATCTACCTTCAAATCAGTAGAAATTTATAATAAATAGTATTCCCGCTGTGTTAGATATGTTCAGAAAGCCCTATATCTACCGAATAAGTTAAGAGTTTAAAGAATAAACCGGAGGTTTGAGACTACACACATGGAAGTGTGAAGACAAAAATAATTGAATAGGAAGAAAATAACAATGACTTGAATATTCTTCAAAAGAAAACCATTGACTCCCGTTTATTGGGGATACAGTACGAAAAGACCAAAGGATCTTTCGCCGAACGACTTCTTCTTCTGGAGCTCACTCAAAAACCGTCTTTATGAGCATATAAAATACAGAAATTTAGATGGATTGAAAACGGTACCTCTGTGGAATGCTAAAGATTCACCCCTTGACAGTTCCGTATTGTGAGGCGTGAATTTAACAATCATTTGGGGTATTGTTTGGTTGTGATTGGGGAATTATGTAAACATTTTATTAATTAGTATAATTTAATAAAGTTCCTTGTGTGAGGCGTGCGAGTGATCGAGTAATGAACAACAAACGAGTCATACACCGCAAATAGTATTCTCAGTTTAACTAATTCTTTTGTAGATGATCATTCCCCCCAATTCAGCAAAAAAATAATCACCTTTTTCAAACCACAGAAATTCTTGTAAACATAAAAAATGTGACATCGAATTTGACAATGACAAAATCATATTTTTGCTAGATTTT